CCCCTGCGGTCGCCTTCCCTTCCCGCCCCGCGCGGCGCCCCGCCGGCCCGGGGGACGCGGCATTGTCCTCCGGTGAGCACCTAGTCATCCTGCGCTCCCATAAAAGTCGGCGGTAAAATTTAAAGTCCCGGGGCTGCGTTGAACCATTAAAGGTGAACGCAAACAGATGTTTGTAGCGCGTGGATCACACTAGCTAGCAAGCGAGCGAGCTGCTGGGGGGCTCCGGCCGCGGCGGTCGTCGCAGCGGGCGGGGTCCGGCTGACAAGGAGGCCGACGATGCTCTACTCTAGAGGCCGTCCTGACTGAACAAGGATTGACATTGTCAGTTTTATTGTCAGCCCTACTGGCGCTTTTTCCAGCGGTGCAGTAGCGCGCCCTGGCTGCGGAAGGCGGCCACCCCTTGCACCCCCTGTCCGCGCCCCTGTGCGGCCTCGCCCTGGAGCCTCTTGGTGGCGGGCACGGCGCCGGGCAGGGAGCGGCTGCTGGGGCATGCGGGCCTGGCCGGGGGCCTGCTGGCAGCCCCCGCGTCCCTGCGCCCCGCCGCCACGTGCGCCTTGGGCGGCGCGGGCCGGGCCGCGGCCGGCGTCCGGGGCCTGGGGGCGGCGCGGGGGGCGGCGCGCCGGCCAGCGGGGGTGCGCGCCGGCGGCGTGGACAGCGCGCTGGCCGCCGTGCCGTACTCGCTGCTGGCCGCGCTCGACGCCGTGGACGGCCTCCGCTCCTCGGCGGGGACCGTCACGACGGCCATGGAGGAGAGGAAGACCTCGGACGACTGCGACGGGCTGCTGGCGGGTCGCGGGGTGTCCTGCTGCCGCCCCTGGTGCTCGTCCTTCAGACCGCCGTCCTGGACGATGTCTGCCCGCGGCAGTAGGTCGGACTCCGTGGTCCGGGACAGAGAGCGTGTCCTACCTTGGCGAACACCCGGGTTTCAGTGTTGGGTCAGTACCGCTGACGTTATCCTGACGACTCAGTTTCCGCGCACCTTGCGGCGCTCCCGGTCAGGAACTCGCGCACGATCAAGTCGTACAGCGGCCCGATGGCCTCTCGCAGCAGGGCGGCGTCCTGGTCCTCTGCGAACTGCGAGGCCGAGCTCTTGCGGCTGACGTGGAGCGAAGCCTCGTCGCTGCCCAGGAACAGGCACTCGTCCACCTCCAGTGCGTTGAGGGACTCGACGCTGCCCCTGCTGCGACTCAGCTGGGTGCGTCCGCCGCCCTCCTTGCCCTCCTCGCCCTCCTCTTTGCCCTCCTCCTCGTCATCCTCGTCTCCTGCGGCCGGCTGCATGGCCGCAGTCGACCCGGGCGACGAATGCCGGCGACCCTGCTCAGAGCCGTTGATGGGGGTCGCCATTTTGGTCTTGCGGTTATTGTTGCCAACCGCGAACAGAAAACATATCCTCGCTGGTCACGGAAAATTATTATTTAATTAAAATTTCACCCAGCCAAGTGGTTTTATTAAACCCAAAATCTATGGTCAAACCCTGTTTTTAAAAGTCGAAAGTTGGCAGCGTTGACAGAACAAACAATGCCAGGACTTCAATTAACGCAAGAATGACACTTTCTTTGGGTTCTAATTTTCCATTTTTGACACTAAAAATGTGCCTGACTTGCCAGACCTCAAAATCTATTTCAATCATACCATTTTCAATATATGTAACCATCCAAGCACGTCTACGTCCATGTGCTTGACCTGCCTGTTGATCCTCCGCCTCTCCTCGTACGTCGAGCTCCTCGCTATGCTGTGGCACGTCCTCGGCGACGGAGTCCTCCGTAGAGGACAGCAGGTACTCTATCTCCCCCTATTTAATGGATGAGTTTAATTTATTTTGGTTCTGAAATAGTGGTTGAAATTCACTGTTGCTGTTGTCGGCAGTCGCCGCCCGCTCAGCCCGTCGCCGACCTGGCGCCGCCCGGGCCGTCCTCCGATGAGGGGGCCCAGGAGGACCCAGGAGAGACGTCATCGTAACGGCCGCCCCCGTGACAGGCCGAGGCGTCAACGAACGACCGCGTGGACCCTGGACGTCCTGTCGCCGACACGCTCGTCGAGTCGTCCCGATGAATTGAAACAAGTCGCGCGGAGGGGGACCCGTGGTGGCGGTGGCGGGGCGCGGCTGCGCGGCCGGGCCGGACGGGAGCCGGGCCAGCTGCACGATGATATCGTGGTTATTAATGCCGAGCTGACCGCACCGCAGTGACACCCGACATCATAATATTGCCCGTTTGGAGTTCCTGAGGAAGATTGGGGGGAGAAGAGAGGGGGAGGGGAGGGGGGCGCTTAAGGACCCTCAAAGGGAGCGGGCCAGCTCCTGATCGGGCCGGCCTGATACCGGTCTGATATACCATCCACCCACGGCCTGCAGGCGAGGAGGACTTTGGCTGCCGAGCTGGCTGGCTGGCCCGGGGGCCGCCGCCACGCGTCCGAATCCTCCGGGGAATGGAATGAAAGAAAAGGAATCGACGGCTAATGATGAAGCCGCGGCGTGGAGCCCCGAGCAGCTGTAGAGCAGAAAAACTTCTGTGTCGTCGTCCATGGAAAAAGTGAACGCACTGTGCATGGCACGAGTGAGTCAGGTGCAGATGCTGTGATACCAGACTTCGGCCACTATGAAGAGACCCTTGTCTCATTAAGTTGTTTTGAAATTAAAATGATTCAAAGTGTGTGTTCGGCTGGTGGTTTCTAGCTGTCGTGCATGCCCTGTAATTCATCTCCTTCATCCCCTAGATAATAGTCATCCGTTCCGTCCCCTCATTCACCACTTTTTAAAACTTTTTCTACAGACGCCCCCTCACGGCCACCCCGGGCACGCCCACGCAGTCGGTGGCCTCAGGCCGGGCTCGAGTAATCTCGGAGATGACCGCCGCACCACACGTCGCCCGCGAGCCTCGTGCAATGCATCCCCCACGGAGCGCCCCGCCC